TCAACGCCGCTTTACTCAAGACTTTAGGGATAATAAACGATTTAACAAGCTGTATCCTTCCCAAAAGTGTAAGCCCTCTCCATTTTCACATATTTATTGTGTTTTTAATGGACTTTAAAATTGCTTCAAAGTTCGCTTTCACCCTGGATGAGACATTATAGTCAAAAACAATTCCTAGAATTTTAATTGAAGTTCGTACTTTATGAGCATAATTGTTTTGATCAAGACGATGGCTACCAATTGCAAAAATTTCAGTCTTATCTTTATTAACTTGGAGGTTGGAGAATCTCGAAAACGACTCCAGAGTCGACACTAAACGGTGATATGACGTAGTATCTCTAAGGAAACAAGTCATGTCATCTGCAAAAAGGGTTAGTTTGATTTCTTCCTCCTTAACCAATATACCTTTAATTTGATTGTCTTCACAAATTCGACAAGTGAGCATTTCAAGAGCAAGGATGAATAGTAAAGGTGACAAGGGGTCACCTTGGCTAACTCCGCATCTGACTGGGAACAGATCAGTAGCAAAACCATTGTTAAGAACACAGCTGGACACATTAGTATAAAACGTCTTGATCCACTGTAGAAAGTATGTTTCAAAACTATTTTTTTCAAGACTTTGAGGAGGAAGGTGTGATTTAAAGAGTCGAATGCTTTCTCGAAATCCACAGCCAGAAGGATACCAGAACAACCTGTAAATTGGGAAAATTCAAGTACGTCTTCAACCGTTCAAACTCCGTCCATAATTGACCTCTCTTTAATAAAGCCATTGTGATTAGGGTGGATCAAATAAGGTAGAATTTGTTCTAGTCTTCTTGCAATTACTTTGGAAACAATTTTAAGAGATTGGTCTCCAATTCTTTATAAAACGTCTGTCTTTGTCTTTCTTTTCTATCAAAGTAATCAGAGCCTGTTTCTGTGAATTGGATTGTTGTCCCTCTTCATGAGCAAAATTTAAGGCATTGACAAGGGACCTCCATATGAGATTCCAAAAGCCGAGGTGAAATTCCACAGTCAAACCATCGTTTCCCGGTGCTTTGTTTTTCTGAAAAGATTTCAAAGCTTGGAAATATTCATTAGTTGTAATATTGCTGTCCAAAAGCTCCCGCTGCACGTCCGTCAGCATTTTAGTATTAATATTCCGAAGGAATTGGTCAGTTGATATGCCATCACAATCACGTAAACCTGTATCGTAGACTTCCATAAAAGTTTTGGATCTCCGTAATTATCGGTTTCGGATCAGTCGTGCATTCATCGTTTGTGACCACTAGTTTTCTAACACTCCTTTTTTTCTTTTTATAGTTTTCTAAATTTAAAAAAATGTATCGCTTTTTTCTCCGTGTTCATACCAATTTATTCTTGATCGGATGATTGCCCCTTGAGCTATATATTCATATTGTCTATCATATTCACTTTGCAGGATTTCCAGTTCACTCACGTTTTCTGGGTTAGGCTGTTCATCGCATTTTGCTGTGCATTTTTTTAAATTTTGTTCCAACAGTGGTAGTTTCACCCTTCGATTTTTAACCTTCTGTTTGCTATAAGAAATTGTTTCATAGCGGATTTTGTACTTAATAAGGTCCCAAAGGACCCTTGGATCTTGGATATCTTTTCCTTCTTCCAGCCAGATGTTATATCTATCAGTTACTAATTTAATGTAATCTTCATCTTCTAAAAGACTGGAATTAAATTTCCAAAAAGATGGACCCCTTCCTGTTTCTTCGATCCCATTTATATGCATTGAAATAGCGGAGTGATCGGTTCTTATTGCCGGAATAATATCTACATTCTCTACCTCTTCCTGAATACTACTGGTAATTAGCCAGATATCTAGACGGTGTTGTACGACTGGGTTCTTTTGTGTCCACGTAAAACGTTCGACATCTGGATTTCTGACTCTCCATATGTCAATCAAATCAAACGACTAACACAAATCCTCGATCTTTTTGCAAGATTCTTTCATTTGTGGCTTGCCTCCGGAACCATCCAAAGTGGCATCAAGAATGACATTGAAGTCGCCTCCAATAATTATTTCGCAATTTTCTAGATTTCTTTTGGAAGATCCGGCGATATCCCAAAGTCTTTTCCTTTAAGTTTTCTGGCGTTAAACATGACCTTCTCTCGATCAGGGTATCTCAGGAAACGTACAATAATCTGTCTGGGTTTTCCGTCGGAGGGGTCCCGCTTTCCAATCCGATGTACTCTTTGAAATTCTAATCCATCGACATCTTCCAAACCTAGCTCCGTTCTCAAAAAATTAACCAAAACCTTCTTTGTGTCTTCCTCTGCGCCTACTTCTTGGATTTCAAAAAAGCGTAAGTTCTCCCGCCGCTGGTAGACCTCCATATAAAGTTTTTCATCTTTGAGCTGGTTAAGCTGGGTTTGTAATTCTTGGATTCTCATCATGAAGGATTTCCTTTCCTCATCAACGAAATTCATCCCGTTCTCTATGTCGTTCACAGTCCTCTCCGTTTTCTTCTGAAGAGACATTCAACCTTGGTTTGAAGAGAGCAGACTTGGACATCCACAGATTTAACATGGTTCTCAAGTTCTTCAAGTTTAGATTCTACTTTTCCAAGTTTGAATTCAACTGCTCCAAGTTTCTCTAATACGAGATCCAGTTTTGGTATAACCTGCTCCACCATATTGGATGAGGACATCGTTTCGTCTAATTTACAGCTTGTTCCCGAACTAGTCGATGAAGTACACCTTATTATTTTATCGTCTGGTGAGAGATCTTCCGTAGATGAAGTTGAAAGATTCTTCCACGTTTTTCGTTTGTTAGAAGTGGCCATGCAAAGCTTCAAAAAACGGAGCTGACACAAACACGTTTACTCCGTCATATTTCCCGACCCAGTCAAATATGTGCCTCTCATCAGCTGACTCAAAACGTTGCTACTCTGTTAAACAACGAAGCTAAGATTGTATCCGACTGGTATAAAAAAGGCAAATTCCAGGCAATGTTTCCAGCGTCAAAAGCAAAGAGTACGCAAGAGGCGCAGATTTGTCGTTGTTAATGAAGAAATTGAATGCACAAGTTCATTATCACTATTAGGAGTCCTTATAGATAATAAACTTAGTGTTGGTGCACACATTCAAAAAGTCTGTAAGAAAGCAAACTGAAAAATTGGTGTTCTGTTGAGGATGAAGAGCCTAGTTCTCGAAAAGACGAAGTTACATCGTTTAAAGCGGTAATAATCCCGAAGCTAAACTATTACTCACTTGTTTGGCCATTCCTTAGAGCATCTGATCGGTGGAAATTGGAGATGATACAGGAAAAAGGACTGAGAGCGGTTTTCAAGGACAGTGCATCAACATGCGAACATCTCTCAAAGAAAGCAGGATTGCCTACATTACGTAATAGAAGACTGCAAGACCTGACGGTGTTAATGTTTAACCTACAAAGTACATCTCTGAATTATTCCAAAGGATGCAAACTGTAGTACACAGCGGTTAAAATGAAATCCGTTTTATTCACGTACCTAACAGAACTAACTAAATAATTAAACAGACGCTGTATATATATGCAGGTCTCGAGGGTATTACATCACACCATCACGCATCACATTACATCGCGCATATTACATGCTCGTTGGCCTCCTATACACTACATTCTCTCTTTTCCTAAATGTTCAACATACAAATCGAACCCTTTAAATTAAGCCAGTCGCTCGATAAAAGGACAAGAAGTTCAAGCTATTCAGTTCATATCATATTCAGTTCATATTCCGTTTATATGGCTTTATAACGATCGGGCGGTCTTACAGTCCGGGTCGATCTCCGAACAGGCCTTCCCACTCCGGTATTTTCATTGTCTGGGAAATGCCAAGGTTGTTCTTGAGAATCTTCAGACGTTCCAGGAATCTCTTTTGGCATCGGTACGACTTTCGTCTCTGAAATTTTGCTCGCCCCTGGGTCATCCACCCGTACTGCAGAACCTGCCTGTACCACTTGGTCTTCCTTGCCATTGGATACATCTCCGTGCTCGTTATACTTCTTTACAAACACAGTGTTTCTTTTCAGTTCAATTCCAGTCTCGTTCCTAAGCGTTACCTCTGACCCCGTCTTATGAACAACCTTAAAGGGATCAGGGTTAAAGTTGGTAGACAGCTTGTTGGTTTTCTCTGCTTTGACAACAGCCGTGTCGCCAACACTTATGCTTTTGGCCTTGGCACCACTCTTAAGGTCAGCGTAAGCTTTTCCCTTTAATTTACTTGACCAATCTCGCTCTCGCACTTCCTCGCCTGGCACACCAGCTGTCTCTCTCTTCAGGTCTACCAGCTTAGATCTCATCTCGCGATCGAACATCATATAACAGGGTGTAGTCCCTGTCGTCGTTTGCGGAGTGGATCTGTACGCCGTCAACCATACTAGCAACTCAGGTCTCCAGTTCTTTCCTTCCAAATGTGCGATCTGTAGGCATTTCAGTAACGAGCGATTCTGGCGTTCCACCTCTCCATTTGCTGGTGGCCACAATGGAGTCGTTTCCCGGTGTTCGATACCATTCGTACGTAAAAAGGCTTCAGACTCTTCAGACACGAATTGGGGGGCCAATATCTGTCCTTTGGCGAGAATGGAAAACCGAATCTTGCAAACATGAGTGCAAGTCCTTCGATGACCTTGACTTCATTATAGCAACCTCTAGGAATCGACTATAGTAATCGACCACCACTTAAATACTCTCTCCTGTGGGTAGGGGTCCTAGTAGATCTGCTCCACAGTCCTGCCAAGAGGCACCTGGAGGGGGGTCAAATACAGAAGTGACCTGGCAGCCATGACAAACTCTACAAAATTTCTCAACGTCTTTGTCCATTATTGGCCACCAAACTTTACTGCGGTGACGATACTTCGTTTTGACTATACCCTGGTGCCCTTCATGTGCTAACCGCACCATCCTGTCGCGCAAGAGCCTGGGAACCACAATCCTTGTGCCTCGAAGCAAGAGTTCACCATACAGACATAATTCGTCCTTGACCTTTGCATACGAGGGAAGTATACACTGGTCCCAGTTCCCTGTCTTAACACATTTCTTCACCTGGGCCAATTCCTCGTCATTATAGGAAGCTTCCTCAATCTCTCTAGGTGATAGAGGAACGGATACACAGTCCTGAACAATTGCCCTAACATAGTCATACTCCTCTCCATGGTCCACGTGATCCGAGTTCAAGCGGGACAACGCGTCTGCTATATTAGTCTTTCCTAGGTGGTACACTACTTTAAAATACTACCCTTGTAGCATTGACTCATCTCTCTATCCTGGCGCAAAGTCTCCAAGTACTGGAGTAGATACGCTCCAGAGGCTTGTGGTCGGTCTCCAACTCCAAGTCCTGTCCAGAAACATACATGTTGGTCCTTTCACATGCCCAAACCAAGGCCAGCGCTTCCTTCTCCATTTGGCAGTAGCGCCGTTCGACGTCAGTTAAGTTCCTTGATGCGTACGAGACAACTCTCCACATGCCTCCCTGCTGCTGGGTGAGAACTGCCCCTAAGCCAACCGGGGATGCATCAGCAATGATTCGCGTTCTGCAACCAACCTTAAAATAAGCCATTGTCTCCGCCTGGGTGATTAGACGCTTTAGTTCCTCAAAAGCTGCTTGTTGCTCATTTCCCCAGTGAAACACGACGCTCTTCCTGGTCAACTCTTGAATAGGCTCGGCTATGGACGCTACGTCTGGCATGAACTTCGAAGAATACTGGACAATACCTATAAACGATCGTACTTCGTTTGCGTCTTTGGGAGGTCTTGCATCTCTAATAGCGGCTATCTTCTCTTCGCATGGATTTATACCGTCTCTAGTCAACTCATGGCCAAAGAACGTAAGCCTCGACAACCTAAACTGGCACTTGTCTCCGTTCACCGTCAACCCCACTTCACTCATCCTATCCAACATAGCAAAAAGACGCTTGTCGTGTTCCTCCACGTCACCTCCATGAACAATAAGATCGTCCGCAATGTTGGCAACCCCAGCACAACCTCTTAACACGTCTCTGATGATCTGCTGATATTTTTCTGGTGCCGATGTCACCCTAAACATCAACCACTTGTACCGATACAGCCCTCGGTGCGTGACGAAAGTAGTGATGTGACGAATTTCCTTGCTGAGCAGGATCTGGTGAAAACCCCACTTGAGATCAATCTTGCTAAACATGGTACTTCCATTCAAGTCATGTAACAGCTCCTCGACGGTTGGAATTGGATGCCGCTCCCTGACGATTGCTTCATTCACTCGGCGCATGTCAACACAGACCCTCACGTCACCGTCACGTTTGGGAACAACAACCAATGGCGATGTCCATCCTGACGGCCCCTCCGGCACTTCCTCTATGATGTCCAGCCTCAAAGGTTCATCAAGCTTCGCATCAACCTGCTCTCGCAACCAAAAACGAATCCTGCGTACATGCTGCGCTACAGGCTTCATTGTCTCATCAACATGCGGTTTTAATTCGTAACCCTTCAAAAGACCAACACCACTAAATAACTCCTTGTATTTTTCTCTAACACTGCCGTCTGGTCGTCCTCCGTCAACACTGTTTGCCTGAAAAGGACCAACACGCAGCAGGCTCAGCACCTCGGCAGTTTCGCGACCTAACAGCGTGCGACCATCGCCTTCAACCACTATGAAGTCAGCCTTACTTCCGTCTTTAAACCCACGCCCAGCTTGCGTGACATCTGCCGTAAAAGTTCCTAGGGTCGGTAAAGGTTCTACGCCACCAGACGCAAAAATTTCTTTCGCAGACTTCCGAGATTCACACTTGATCTCCTTCTGCTTTAGTAATTCACAGGCCCGCTGACCCATAACATTACATGAACTTCCCGAATCAATAAGAACATCTGGTACGGAAACACCACCGATGATCAACGTTACCAACGCACTTCTTTGTTCCCTGTGGTCATCCAACTGTTCCACTGAAAAGGCATGATCGGGTCTTGACTGACGACCTGGTGTTGCAAAGTCTTCTTTGTCTTCTTCTCGGGGGGCAGGTCCTCGAGTCACTAGATTTGCCTCTTGCTCTAGTCTTCCGCGTCCACGTCCACCCCGACCAAATCCACCTGCACCTCTGCCACCCCGACCATGTCCACCTCAACTATTCCTCGTTCCTTTGGATCCCGACTAGGCGCCGCCTCGCTGATGGAGTTGGGGGCACTTGACCTTGAAATGGCCTATCGTACCGCACTTCCCCGCAGGTCTGACCTCACGCCGGGCACCGCAAATCCTGACTAAAGTGTCCTTCCCGTCCGTAACTAAACCACCTCTTCAATTTTGTGGGATTTTGTTTCCATCCACTCTTCTACTCACTGCATTGACCCGGTCTACCTGGTCCGTGTTGTATTGTTTCAGTTGTCATCAACCGCTTCTTGGGATTTCGTAGCCCGCAACAAATCACCCAAAGTAACTGTCCCTTTCTTTTTCCAGGAACTTCCGGCGCAAATGGCTGAGTAACACTTGTCTATGAGTTGATCACCAATGTAGTCGTCCTCGTTGACGCCAAACTCACAAGTCGCCGCTAGCTGACGCAATCTGCACACAAACTGGTCCACAGTTTCTCCGGTGTCCTGCGAAATTCGTCTAAAGAGATGTCTCTCAAGAAGAACGTTTGACTTGGGAAGAAACTAATTGACTAATTGTCAAGTACCTGAAGTGTTTCCTGAAACCTCACATCTCGCCATCACCGGCTAATGTGAAATAAATTCTTGAACGTCCATACCAGCAACGTGCAACAGAAGAGCTCGTTCGAAACACCTTTTCCCGTCACGTACCAATCAAACGCTCGCTTCCATCTCTTCCACCGCTGACTTAAATTGTGTGCCTCTCCCTTGGGATTAAATGGTTCCAATCCACTGACAGCTAAAGCAACTGAAGCAATTCCAAAGCCATTGACAGAACCGCCAACAGCACTGCTTGTCGTTTCGTCTGATCCACCGTGTCCCGGCATTTCTGAAATAAATCCCTGGCGAAATCACTTACGAATTCCCGGACGAAACTTCGGAAACCTTCGACAAAACCTCGAAATCCTCGAATTCCTCAAAATCTTCAAAATACTCGTCGCCAATGTAGTACACAGCGGTTAAAATGAAATCGATTTTATTCGCGTACCTAAGAGAACTAACTAAATAATTAAACACATGCTGTATATTTATGCAGGTCTCGAGGGTATTAAATCACACCATCACGCATCACATTACATCGCGCATATTACATGCTCGTTGGCATCCTATACACTACAGAAACTAATTACAATTTACCTACACCAGACTTTGTTATACCGAGATGTAATACAGTAACCCATGGAAAGCATTCGATCTCACATCTAAGGCATTATTTATGGTCCAAAATGTACGGACACAATGTGACTCGAACAGTTTTAAAAGACAAGGTAAGAAAATAGACCGAGAAAGATTTTTGCTTGAAAAATGTCCAACTGGCTGTTTTCTATATGATTCTACACTATAATCATTAATTATCATTATTTATTCACAGGTCATTCCTAAACTATATTCCTACAATTTTTAACATTGTGCATATACACAGCTCTTTATTTCTACCACCTATAGTATGTATATATTATTTTTATCTTGTTACTTATGTTTCGGTGTCCCCAATTAGCAAAACCATGATAAAGTTACACGACACTTGAATAAAGTTTACTTATTTACTTACTTGCATTCCGTAATCTAGCGGAGGGTGTCTGTTTTTCTCTGGGTATTCGAACACCTATAAGTTTAAAAAAGTTCTGGGTTAAAATTGAGCTGCATTGTGGACTTGAAAGAGGACAATTTAATTATATGTGATAGGTGAAATGTTTTTTGGCGAGGACGTGTAATTGTGACTCACTCAAATTGTTTTAATCTTGTTCCGATCTTGTAATTTTACGGCCCCGAATATCCACGAGTAACGTTTTTAACTAGCTTGTTTATATGATAGTTTTTCTTATCAGTTAGTCATTGCTGTGAAACTTGTTAACTTCGCAGTGGGGATCTCATGCAGAGTTGAATGTAATAGTGGCAACAGAATGAAATAGATAGGGTGAACTAGATCTGAGGATAAATGTATGATAAACAATGTGCCATTTGAAATCACTAATACCGACAAATAACCTTTGTTGAGTTAAGAACGTTCTTCCTAAATTAGTTACAAAACTCACGGAAATTGGCTGGGCTGGAAACGGCTCGCAGATAAAAATAACTAGGTCGAGAAAAATGTCATTCTTTTGATACTGCAGCTAATATTATTTCAGCTGGTGTCGTGCCGTAAAGTTATTTCTGAACACCTAAAGACTGTCAGAAATTAGTCCATGGGTCAGAGAGGCTCTCAGTACCACTCAGGAGGACAATAGGTGAGTGATATCTGATAAAAGGTTATGTATATTTTAGATTTTTCAAATTCATTTGACAGAAATCGTGAAAGGTTAGCTTTCCCAATTCTTACGTACTCGTTTATTTGAAGAATTACCGCTTAACATGGAAACGAGGGGAACGATAAAACGGTTATCTCCAGTGCCTTCTTTCTTTGGTATAGTAATGAGATTAGAACGTGTGCCACTTGACAGCATTTCAAAACAATGTTTTGGCTAAAAGCCAAGATTTTTTCCATTTGATTTGTAAGAAAACTTAAGCGAAACCATGAAGTCAAACTTGCACAGCTTCATGGGTAGGTTCCAAGGTAGCGTAGTGTCTCAAAGTTCTTTCGATTATTAACCTTGCCGTTTTCTGACGCTTTAGAAATGACATAGTTAATAAACAAAGAACACAAAAATAGACACTTCAAGGCGGAATTTTCAGTGCTCGTCAGCGAAGACACTTGTGAACAAACAGGTGGCGGTCGATCATTATTAAGATTCCAACGAAACTTGATTGATATGAACAGACTAAACGAGACGGCTTCACTGCTCGAATTATGGAAATTGTTAATATTTCTAATCATAGGCTATTGTTTGATCTGGCGGAGAGTGTTAAGGAGGAAAACATTTCACCAGTGAGCTATGAAATCAAATAACCTTTAAAACAGTGAAGCAAAAATTGGAGAAAATTTCTCAAACAACGGAAATCGCAAAGAGATTCATGGGTGCAGTGTGGGAAGTAGAGAGCAAAGGACTCGTCGGGAAGAGCCTAGCGTGGGCAGAACTTAAATGCAGAAACATGCACTTTTGTGATAAGAGAACTAGATTTAAGAAAGGATAAAAAACGTGCATTACTTTTACTGAATGCGTCGACTTACGCACCCATAACACGATTAGAAAGGCTTCTATAGCTACGGATGATAGGCTTTGCCTCTCGTGATCTGCCAGCACCTGATGCTTGGTAATGCGGTCAGAGGAGTCTGTCAATGAAAACACAACATGGAGAAGACGTCGAACTCATGAGACATCGCTACTACAATTATGTAAGGCGTTGTAACACACGCTATCATATCACTCGCAGCGCCCGTGGGTAATATGAAGCGAATCCTATGTTGAGATTGGCTACCCCAGCGGGCAAGATGGACTCAAGTTGGGCTCGCTTTGATCCGGCGCAAATTTGTGATTTTGGGGCAATGTCTGCGATATAGTCGCAAAATGTGGCGGAAGAGAGTCAAAACAAAGAAAACATAAACGACCCTATATATTGTGCTACAAGAGTTGGCTCTTTTTCCAACCGGGCTCTCAAAATAAACAAGTCATTTTTTATTGTTAGTAGGCGAAATATTTTTTCTCTTTAAGAAATCCTTTATTAGCCAACTTGTGCAGTCAAGATGTCTAGATATTTACCTCGTTCATTTTTCGTGTTATGTACCCCGACTCCGTTTAGTTCCACAAAAACGCAAAAAATCGCTTCGTCGATAACACATATTTTTTGATGAGGTCATGGTTTTGTATTAAAATAGGCTTAAAGGGCAAGACGAAAACCTTTGCCAAAACGCTTAGTCAGGCCGCAAAACACATGGTATCCTTCGTTATGCTTTGTTGTATAAAAGTCCACAACGCGTGCTTAGAGGGTTGCTTAAAACGAACACCTTTCTACAAAATGCAATCGATAAGGTATATTTCAACGTCATTCAAAGCGAAGAGAGCGACATCGTGTATTTCGTGGCCTGGAAAAGCGTTTACGCGAACGTCTCCGTTTTGTGGTTTGATCACAGCTTTTTCTGCATTCAAGGACCCTATCAATAACGAGTGTTTCAACATCTCACCAAGTGTAGCGCGCAATATTTTCGTTGATGGTGTTAGGTCATCGGTCTCCGGTTGGTGTTCTGTCTTCAGTTGATAGATACTCTCAGTGCCACTACTATCAAGATTATAACCGACCAGACAAAGTAAACAAGCGCTCATACTTGGAAGGTAAATCTGCTCCGGATAAAACCAATTATTTCACATGATATCGAATCGCAAGGCTATGACAAACTGCTTAGGTTTATTCGATCAAGTATATCAGAAAATACTAGGCTAGTTAAGATGGTTGATCTATGAGAAAAGACAACTTACTACATACGATCACACATGCGCGCGGTCATCAGTAGCAGATACTTTATGATTCCAATCAGCAAAGGAAACGGTCAGCGGTCGTGCAAGATGGCCGCTATTTCCTTGGCTCCTGTTTTTATAGCCGGTTTTGCTGTTTTATTCAGTCAAAATATGTACTATACACCAAATCTTTCAAAAGGAATCGATGGCTTTGGCTTAAACTGTCTTCTGGCAAGTAGTGAACCACCATTAACTGGCTTTCAAGCTCTACTTAGCCACAACAGACAAGCATATGGTTCGAACAACCTGAGTACAAAAAGAGTACATCGAAGATTACTGTTTTCATTACTACTCTTAG